AATACGCCCGGATGGAATTAAATAATATCGTTAAATAGTAATGTGAAATAATACCACGATGGAGAAATGATCTGCGACGTGGCATTGCAAAATATCGAATGGATGCGAAACGGTGTGTCTGATTAAAATTCAATATGAATAAATATGGTCGTATCGCGTGAATATCGAACATAAACGATTAAAGATTCTAGGAAAATAATCCATTCGCGATTCATGAAATTATCTTAATGCGCGTACCTACATCCCATTTCATTCTCCGTGCAAACAAATCTGAGAATTGCAGGGCTGCGTTTATCACGGTGCAATCGTAATAAACAGCTGCCATCCCGGCGAAATTAAAACCGAGCCATACTCATAAACCAGGCTCTTTCATAAGCGCTTACATGCGGCACACGTGAACAAGCAACCTTTTTTCACGTGTTTTCACGTGTTCACATTTACTCGCTGTATCTCTTTCTCCTCCTTTTCTTTTTTTTTTTATTCGCTACGCTGCTATTCAAAGATACATACGAGCTTTAATAACAGCTGCCAAAACATTCAAAAAGCACGCGATTATAGGAATCGTTCGTTAAAGAAAGAACATCTTTTTGAAAACATTTAGAAAAAAAAAGAAAAAGAAAAAAGCAGGTTTTTTGCAGGTCTGGTTGCAGGAAACGCGCGCTAAAATGTGACGCGCAAATGAAAACAAATTCTTCTACGTTTCCGTTTCGCTCAGGGATCGCCTTGTCAAAACTAATTTCACATAACCGAACCGTATCGTGCGAAAACGGACAAGAATGGAACGAAACGGTACCCCCGACGTTCACCATTGTTCTCGGTGCACTTCCGCAACGACCGAACGTCTGTTGACCATCAACAACACTGGGGACCGGCGATAGCTTTTAATAACTTGGCGCTGAACGGGATCGAAACCGAAATACCATCGTCCGATCCATCGTCGTTATTTCTTTCTAAGGATTATTCGCGATGCCGCGACTTAAATCGTCGAGTTTGCATCGAATGGAATTATTTCATTCGTTTATACGGCGAGAATACAGCTTAATAACGCAGAGTGTTACATTTCTCTGCAAATTCCATCGATACCTGAGAAAGCGACGAACGAGTCGTAATACTTGAATCGTTTCGCGTTCTTCCAGATTCGAAGAATTCGTTACAAATTGATAATTACCACGATATTTCGCGTAGCGCGTCACGAATTTCATTTCGGTGAGAGAAACGATAAAAAAAATCCTCCGCATCCCTGGCATAGATAAGCTTACGCGAACGAGAGCGTGTTCTAATTGCGAAATTAACGTAATTAGAGCGGTGATGGTAAAACGGAACGACGATTCATCATTTCCTCGTCGTTTAGCAAATTTATCGATGCGAACTTGCCACCGTTCATCTATCAGCCTCCGGCTGTTATCGCTGTGTCCGTCTTAATAACGTCATTCGACGTACACATACGATAGATGAACAATTGAAGAGGAATTACGAATGATTAAATTATTATCGGGAAAGATTGCCGTGGATGTTACTTTGGCTTAGATCATTTTATAAAAATCAAGTATCGAGTAAACGTGACGATACTATTTCGTACTTTGAGAAATCTTCGAATCTTCGTCTAATCTAACGAATCGTTCGTCGCAGATGATCGCATGATATTCGTACAAAACCTATTCGTCGCGGATCGATTCCATTTCTAGGAGCTTGCAATAACCCTTCGATCTCCTTTGACACGCTCTCCTCTTCGGGATTGAAAAAAGTTAACGCGAAAAGCGTCTAACGATAACCGAATCCTTTTCAATATTTTCCTACCCAAGTGCTCGTCTAAGGTTGCCAATGCAATTCCTGACGATGCGACATAAGGATCCATTAGATACGCGAATCCTCGAGGATTGTAGCTGAAACCCGATGGTAGAGGCGTATTCGACTTACGTTTCATTTACTTGTAAAATATCCATGTTACATCTTAGTTATCCATCGATATATATATAACTGCGATTTTTAAATTATCAGTAATCGCAATAATTTCATAATAGTTACACAGGTCATCGATTGTGGTAGTTCCTGGAATTCGATCACAGTTGCAGCATCTCTGTGCCGAGCGGAAAGAGGGTGATTCTACGCGAAAAAAGAAGTCGAAAATATAGAATAAACATTTTTCGTTTGAGGCTTTGTTTTCGAGAAAATCGACTTTGAATTTTGGCTCGGCACGCGTGCGGTACGTTATAACGGATCTCACTGTAGATCGTTGTCTCGATGGAAAAATTAACAACCACCCTGTATACAACTGCGATTTTTAAATCATCAGTAATCGCAATAATTTCATAATAGTTACACAGGTCATCGATTGTGGTAGTTCCTGGAATTCGATCACAGTTGCAGCATCTCTGTGCCGAGCGGAAAGAGGGTGATTCTACGCGAAAAAAGAAGTCGAAAATATAGAATAAACATTTTTCGTTTGAGGCTTTGTTTTCGAGAAAATCGACTTTGAATTTTGGCTCGGCACGCGTGCGGTATGTTATAACGGATCTCACTGTAGATCGTTGTCTCGATGGAAAAATTAAGAAAAAAAATTTTTATTCTATATTTTCGACTTCTTTTTTCGCGTAGAATCACCCCCTTTCTGCTTGTACCACCAGTTACCAACCACCCTGTATACAACTGCGATTTTTAAATCATCAGTAATCGCAATAATTTCATAATAGTTACACAAGTCATCGATTGTAGTAGTTTCTGGAATTCGATCACAGTTGCAGCATCTCTGTGCCGAGCGGAAAGAGGGTGATTCTACGCGAAAAAAGAAGTCGAAAATATAGAATAAACATTTTTCGTTTGAGCCTTTGTTTTCGAGAAAATCGACTTTGAACTTTAGCTCGGCACGCGTGCGGTACGTTATAACGGATCTCACTGTAGATCGTTGTCTCGATGGAAAAATTAAAAAAAAAAATCTTTATTGTATATTTCCGCTTGTACCGCCAGTTACCAACCACCCTGTATACAACTGCGATTTTTAAATCAGTAATCGCAATAATTTCATAATAGTTACACAAGTCATCGATTGTAGTAGTTTCTGGAATTCGATCACAGTTGCAGCATCTCTGTGCCGAGATGACACGAGCATTTTGAGATTCCGTGCCCAATGCTGGAAACCCAATAGGGCTTAGATGTGATAGGTGGCTCAGGATCGAACGTAGAACCGTCTCTCCTTCTTCGGCTGTATCATGAAAAAGGATTGAAGAACTTGGCTCGTAAATGTGTTTCGTTCCAACCCACTCTTCATTCTTCTCTCGCGATACTTTTTCCATTCTGAAATCTCACGGAACGATCTCGAAGAGAATTTCGAGCAATGTTCGTTGACAGGAATTTTACGTTTTAGGTTATGTTTGACTACATTTTCTCGTACTCATAAGGAAAAAGTGAAGTTCGCGGGGATACCTTCTATCTAATCCCGTTCTTCATTCTCGTACTGTAGCGACTACCTAGCCGCGGTAGCGGCGCTCGAGAACTGCGAGCGTAATTTCTACGGAACCGTTTCACGTCAGATACATGGGTGCAAGTGCAATCCGCAATCGCGGAGGAATCCCTGGGAAGGAATTAAAGCTGACGCGAAGAGCTCTCAAAATATCTACGCGCACAACGACAACATTGTGTTCATGTGGCCACAAATAAGCGCATACGCGAATATTCTCCTACGTAATCTACATGAAATTACGTAGTTAGAACACTGGCATTAAACGTACGCTTATAGCTGCGAGGAAACTTAGGCTAAGATTCGAGACGAAAGATCTGAACGTTGGATATCTCCGGCAGTGCTAATAGATCTTTCATTTTTCGAAGATTCAACGAAAACAGGAGTTTCGCATTAGAAACTACGAGGAACATAGACTTCCGGTCGAGAAGGATTCCATCTCGTTGCTAACTGGTCTTGCGTTGGCCTACTAGAGCTGAGTCAACATCCCCTAGATCTATTATTTCCCTTGCAAACAATTATAAGGATTCTCTGGGCGAATAAATCTAGCTAAAGCTCAATGCATCGTCAGTTCGGCCAGAATTTCAAATGAAACGCGAACCTATCAAAGGGTTCCAGAGAAAAGAGAATCATCGCCGTAATTAACATTTCATCTCGTTCGAAATGTTATCGCGATTCTCTTTGCTTCTTAGCGTATCTATATTTGCATAAATTATATTCTATTTATTCTTTCCTTATCCTGCATCTCGTGTTATTTTCTCCCTGTTATTATCTCCTGTTGTTATTATATTATATATTATATATATTACAAATGGACGTTATCGTGAATTTTGTTACATTGTAATTTATTAGGATATTAAAAATAATTGCAATACGACTAAATACGAATTAACGATCGCAAAACTTTCGATGTTGTATAAGATTGAACAAAATCTGAGTAGATCTAGGCGGCAGAAAGGATTTCTACCGAAAGCAACACTACCGATCGAAGCGAAATATATAATTGATTAAATAATCTCTTGGATCGCGTTCGACGCATGAACTGACTTCTAGAAGCAAACCATCGGACAATATCGCCCAACAGGAATTTAATAAAGCCAAACTGTAGAACGATGCGTAAGATGTGGCTAAAAGAAATGAACGCGGAACGTGCTTCGCATACATACAATCACTTTTCTTCTTTCCTCGTCGGTCTTCCGATTCTTTTTCTTATACCTTTTTCTTGCTTTATCAATCGGTATACTAGCCGATGCTTCCCTTTTCCGTATTTTCTTCGCGAAAATGCTTTATACTATACATCTTTTACCGAATCGTCCTTTTTTAATCTGAAAGAGCCTCCTTTTTACTTCCTTATCGGATATACATAATAGACGGAACGATACAGATTGTACCCACATGACCTCGATTTCCATTTTATCTACTGGTACGAATTGAACATGAACATGATTTATGGATCTCGCTGATAGAGGCATTCCTAAAAAGGTATATATAGCTCTCAAGAGGATATAGAATAATTACATATTATAGGTACTAAAAGAAGTAAGAGTATGTTGTACGAAATTTATTATTCAAAAATACATTTGCATTTGATTCGTAAAATGAGATATTATACACTGCTGAAAATAATTAGCGGATCGCTATTATTGACTTGATAGATTGACATGTTATTCGTATAATACTGCGACAAATATTAGCCCTAAGACAATCATTAAAAAAAAAGAGTATACATACCTAGTAAATAAGTAGTATAATCAAACACGGAAAACGATCATTTAATTGTTTTGAGCAGTGTATATGAGTAAAAGATCAACATCGTAAGTATGTAATATAACAAAATTTAGTTAGATCAATATTGTGTTTTTATTTGGTTAGAGCAATGCGCAAATGAAGCTACTGTGAAAACAAAATTTCTTCGACTTGTATATTAATTATTACTTTTAATGATCATTAAAATATCCTGTAATTAAATCTCAAAGAAGTTTACGTTTTATTTACATTTTACAAAACAAATCAAATATCACATACACGTATATGGATTGAGTATTAACAAATGGTTCACATAGAAGTTTTTAATTTGTAAACCATACTAACATCATTTTAAGTTTCAACAATTTTTTTCTGTAGTTCATTTTCGTCTTTTATTCGTTTCTCCCTATAAAATCTCAGAATTGTATTCTAACAAATTGGTCATTTTTGGCGACGCATATCTTGCTCATTAATATCATATAACTAATATTCCTCTTGAATTTTTCTTCATAAAGAAAAATATGTTTAACACAAAGATTCCTAATTTGACATGAAGCGATAGATCTCTATACAAAAAATTTCGAAGTCAAAAAACATTGGTATCCTAAACTGCTTTACTTTTTATGTGTTATTCTATTATATTGTCTATCAATTTACTGTTTTAATTTATACGAATATGTAACTTTCTATTAGAACGTTACATTATCACAGAATATGTACTGTACAGTATTTATATGATACAGATCTGTAATCATCATAATTGGTCATTATTTCCTTTATATCATCTTCTCTCTAAATCACGAATAATTTTATTATTTTTGACTAGGTGTTAATAGTTATTCACCAATGTTTCTTGTCAGTGTCAGAATTTTCATATTCAAATACATTGAAATACGTTTCATATTCGAAACATGTAGGCTAAATCACGAAGCTTGGTAAATTTCATGATATTAAAAACATATTTCCGAGGACCAAGCTTCAGTCATAAATACTATGTATAAATTGTATAATAATTACTCTATTGAAAACGAATAACGATAAATTTTATAAAAAAGTATTTAAATAATGTTCCTTGTATAATATTTTCATTCAAAATTATAAGTATACGAAGATTTTCGCTTCTTTTTATATACATACTTAAATACAAGTAAAGAAATACTTTAATGTATCAGTTTTCAATTTCTGGAATTAAAATAAATCTTTCAATGCGTATAATTAAATATACATAATCTAATATAGTCACATACGTTTTTATCATTTATCCCTTTGCGTTACACGTGCAAATGTCCGTTGCATTCTCTGCACATTCTGATGGACATTCTTCTTTCATTTTTATTTCTATATCACAAACTTTATTATTCGTTGGTGGACGTTCATATTTACATATTACAGCATACATGTCACCACCTAATCGAAGTGCTAACCATCGATTTTTAACAACTGCTAATTTCAGACATTCACAAGTCATTTTTGCATAAAGATTCGTATGAAGCGTTCTACCCATTCCCTCTAATACGATAAGATCGACGTTATGTTTTACCATCGCAAGACATAGATCTAAATTGAGTCGGCTATTAAATATCAAATAATTCGTTAAAATATGTAAAACTCCAAATAATTATCTTGCAACTATATATATCACAATGATTACCTTAAATCAAGACAGGGACTAGCTTGAGCTGTCTCCATGGCAAACAAACGATTTTCTTTCAGAGCTTGTCTAATAACTTTGCATATTTTTGCTGCATCTCGTAATGTTACAACCAATTCTGGATATGTGACATCATTTAATGCTGGCATAGAATTAGCGCACAGTATAACCTAAAATAATTGTTATTTTAATTTAGGAAATATATTGTTGTCAAATTCGAAAAAATACAAGACAACCAACTTTTGTTCCTCGTTGTAATAAGTCACGAGCAAACGGTAAAATTCCCAATACTATATCAACTCCACTATTGTCAACGAAAATAGCAGCACATTTATGAGGTGGACCAGTTTTCAATCTCTCTATCCAATCATCCAAATCATCTTGTAGCCAAGGTCTACCTAAGTTTAAGAAAAATATCATATCATCTTTATTAATGATTTTCTTTTTTAATATATTAATCGTGATCATAAATGTCACAAGTCTGTGACAGTACCCGGTATTTTTGCTTGAGCTTCAGCAAAACCAAAATCTGTTGTCTCCATTAAAGTTGCAACAGCTTGTGCACCCCAGTCAAACATATTACCACTCAGAACTCCCAGAATCAAAGCTTTTATTTTTTCCGCTCCTTCCAATTCATCGAGAACTGTTATACGACTTTTTAAATATGTTAAGGCTTCTTCATTCTCCTTTTTCTTTTGCTATATGTAAAATAAAGATTATTATGTAAAATAAAGATTATTATGTAAAAGAAAGATTATATGTAAAATAAAGAAAATTAATTAAACATACATATATCAAAAAAATCATAACATTATCGATGTATAAATAAACTTTTCTAGAAACTTACATGCAGATATGGATCAGGAAAATCGAATTCTTTCATGCAGTGTTCAATAGTATCCAATAATACTCTGACTGTAAGTGTTCCATAAGCACTATAATGTAAAATGATTTAACATTATATTACAAATTATAAAATTATAATATATTTATATGATGTATACTTTTATTACTGAGCTGAACTTACAATGGTTGAAGATGTAGATAACGCAATCTGTTAACATATTTTTCCTTCAGTTTTGTTGCTCTATCTTTTGCAGTTGGACTATGTGGCTGACTGTGAATAGCTTTGGCCACAAATTTATCCACTGATTCTTCAAGACACTGAAGCCAATAATCTCTAGAAATATTAAACATTGCTGTATATGGTTAAAAGATCTACCATTCATAACTCACCTTGCTTCTTTATCCTCAGCAAGATCAGTTGTATCAGGATTGTAAGATGCAGGATCTTTCAAAAGTGGACAAAATGTTACAGCAGTTTCTGCTTGATCAATTTCCAACTGATCTACTTTAATTCCAAGATTCGTAGATATTGAATCTTTAAATCCTGAAGACCCTGCATAATTTTCCAGCCAACTATATTCATCAGATTGTTCAGCACCATACAAAAAGGCCCCAATTGCACCAAGATAACCTTCATGACGAAGGAAAAGAGGTTTTACCTTACCCTATACATAATTTAATAAATGTTTATCATTATTTTAAGAAAAATTTTGTTTTGGACTATGATTATGTAACAATGAGAAGTTTGAAACTAACATTCGACCAATATTTGATAGAATATGAAATAGTATGCATTGATAGAGGGTGGTTACGAAGAAAGTAACCACCGAAGTAAACTTTATCCATCTTATGTACAGTTGCATATAAACTTGCTATTTGTCCAATGTCATTGCTTACAGTAAATAAAAGACTTCTAGCAAGATCTGCCTCAGAATACTTTGGTCTTCCTAAAATCCAAATAACAGAATTTATTTCTTAAGAGATCTTATATAGTTAAGAGTTTTCGAGAAAAGACGTAAGAATATAGGTACTGAAATGATTATAAACCAAAGGAAAACATGTGATAATAAATAAGTTAAGCATACGACATATAGTTTAAGAAAAATGAAGATATATTTACATGTGTAATCTATAGTTTTTACATATAAGAGGGGATATATGTTTTGAGATAGTGCAGACAGATATGAGTCTCAGGTTGTGTTGGATACTCTAGGTGCTATATAGGAATGAGTGAGAACTAGAAATACATAATCCAATAATAAAATACATAACTAGAAATAATAAAGTTCTTTTTCTAAGCCATGAAGCCAAAACATAATAAAGATATAAATACCTAAGCATCCTATCAATAATTGTTTACTTTCTTACCTTTATCATTATAAGTAACTTTGCCAAAAGAAGATGCAATAAGGTCTGCAGATAAACCTTGTGAGGAATAATCGCCTGCATAAATATCCTTCACTAACATATCAACATTACGGTGATCTCCTCTTTCTGCAAGTTGCAGCAATTCATCAAAGCCCTGTGTATTTTTAAACATTTGTAAAACTCTACTTATGTACTTCAGTAATATTATATAAATATAAAAACCAATAAATTATATACATAAGCTAATGTATATTGGACTGCATTTAATACTGATACCTTTCTTTTCGTAAGCAAACAACCTAATCCCCAAAATGTTCCACCTCCTGTAGCTGTACCACCAACTCTTTCAAATACTTTATCAGATTCAACCTAAAAGTATTGTATAAATTTAAAAAAATAATACCCTACCCATTGAAGGTGACTTATCACTATATTTGTAACTTACTTTAAGAATACTGACACCGCTACCAATGTTTACTAACATATATGGAAATATATTAGGATCAGCTTTTTGAAATTTATATTCAGGATTCCCATGTCTTTCAAATTCAAATGCTTCACAAGATATATTTTTAAGTAAAAAATTACAGCCTTTTATTAAACATGCGAATTCATCTTCTTTATCAACTCTAAAATAATGTTTTAATTGTGTTCACTTTTTGTTCGAAGTATTTGATTTTAAATTATAAAGAATTCATTTAACAGATGAACGACAAAACAACATAACTAATATTATCTTATATAAAATGCTTACATTAAACCTAATTTTTCTTGTAACAAAGCATTATATTTATATGCTCCTCCACCAGTCACTTTAATGTTTTTACCATAAAACCTCTCAACATTTACTAAATTCTCCTTCACAAAATCCAAACAATTTTCAATGTATCTTGTTTCAAACTTAACAAAGTGAAGTCTATTGCCTTCATGAACTCTGTATGCACGTTCTCCACTATTTCCTAAGCCTGTATCCTCATACAATGCCTTACGATAACTAATCGTTGAATAATAAGCTATTTTTGTCAAAGATAAGCCTGCAATCAAATTAAAGCCACAGCAATCTTTTACTGTATTATTAAAAGATAATAGCTGATCGTGTTCATTTACAATAAATATACACAATTTTTTAATAACATTTAAAATATATTCTTAACTTAATTAAATTTGTGCATAAAAAAGGTAGTACAATAATGGTAGGACAATACATACCAATGTCGATCGCAAATTTTTGAGCATTTTTTAAATTTGCAAACACTTCAACAGCACTTGGCAATTTTATGGAATGAGTTCGTTCATCGTCGATTTCCAATGTTTCCATTTTATATTAATTTTAACGAACTACTGTGCTTTGAACCACGTAGATACTTTCACGACTACCAGACGGTATAAGAACTACATTACCTTAAGTATTAATTTTATCATCGTTTAAACATTTGCCAATGAATATCACGTACACATACAGTAAAAGAAATTTTTCTGCTCTAGGACATACATGAATTAAATCCTTGTTTACCTGAAACTTATCACGTTGATTTAAAAATGGCTATTAACATTAAACAGATAGAGGCGCCGTTTGGTATACATGGCGCTAAAAATTTGATTTTAATCAAGTATTGCGTAAAATGCTTAATCACGTATAAATTAAGAAAATCAGATATTATAGTTGACATTTTTGTAGAACATACGACTTAGTGGAGAATAGTACGATAATATGATTAATGGTAAAAAAAATTATGAAATTATAATTCTTTTTACATACATTATTTCTATAAAAATATATTCATATATTAGGTTATTAGTATTTATGACGATAATTTTGACTATCCAGCGATACAATAATTATAAAAACTTATCTGACAAGGAGACAACAATATATATTTTTAAATATCATATATTATTTTATTTAATTAATACATTTCACCACAATTATATATAAAATATTGTTAAAAATAAATCAATAAAATAAAATAACAATTAAAATATATTCGGAAACTCAGATTTTACACATGTTCATGGAGTAAACAGTTATATTAATTTTTATCAGAATATTTATAAAATATAATACAATAATTTACAGAACATTTGCAATTAAAGTTAATTATATCGTACTTACACAAATATACTCATAAATTTACTATATATATATACAAAAATTTGTTAATTACAAAATAAGTATTATTTAATCATATGTAAATGTTATTATTAAATATTATTCACCTAGTACGGAAATAATGTTATTATATCTACCCCTTTAAGTTTCTTATATTCGTATATATGTAAAATGGCGTCAAAGATACTTAGTAGCCTGTTGGAATCTGTGTTAAAATGTTAAAAATGCAGTAATTAAGCTAATATATTTTATATTGTTTAGTATTTTGTAAGTAAACAGTAATTGTGAATTTAATTTTTTAATATGATACATCTTTAAAAATTTGTTACACAAATTTATTACATATATTATATATATGTCATACTAAAATTTTTATATTGTCCAGTAAATTAAGCTACATTAATCACGTAAAATCGCTTATATATTTTTCTAGAATACACCAATTATATATTAAATATGAGCCCATATATATTGCTCTATATATTAAAAACTGTTTATTAAAACAAAAATTTCTATTGTTTAAAAATCTGATCATGAATTTCTTCATTTTGAGCAAAAGTAAAAAATTGTGTAATCTTTTAGTTTTTTAATCATTCTTGGTTTTTCTTTGAACCCATTCTTTTTATCCTTTATCATAAAGTACAAAATCCATCTGAAATACAATATCAGACATGTCATTTCAATGACACAGACCCTGTTTATTAAAATCATATACGTGTTCCAAAATTTCTATTCAGGAAAATTTTGTATTTTTTTCTTTTGATAAAAGAGGAATCGATTTAAATTTAATATTTTGTAATAAATTATATGAACCATATGTACAAAATTTATGTGACACAAAAGGAATATAAAACGCACGAAAAAATCGATGCGATCTGAAAAATAAATGAGACATTAATTTAACATAATAGATATAAATAAAATTTAAAAATTCAAATATGTAATTCACTTACCTTGCGGAATTTAAAAATTTAGATGACGTTATTATCGTGAAATTATCGTTTATTCGAGAATAATTTGGTTCTAAACTTGTGTCAGTACCAATGTCCAGGTCTAACACAAAATGGCATTTGTCTAAGCTAAACTACAATATAAAATATTATTGATTAGATTAAGCTATGTATATAAACCCATACTTTTAATATATTTATATTATGATATAAATATCATCTTACATAACGTGTAGGTTCTTCTCTATTCATATCATTAAAATAGGGTTGTATAATACCAGTTGCATTTTCATGATCTAGGAAAGGTTGAGGTAACTGACCCTTAAACTCTGATCTGAGATACTGAAGTTTCCAACTAAAATATTGATTTTTTAGAAAATATGTATTGCTTTAAGTTGTATTTGTCAAAAAATATATTACTTACTTATTTGACGGAAAGAAAAAGCTACTCGGAAATCGGTGCCACTCTTTACCAATGCAAAAATTGATATTAATATCCTTAAATATTTCTCTCTCTAAACCAAGTTTATTAGCATCGATCATTACTTCCATTGGCGCATAATAGCCTGATATAGAATAGAATTTTATCTTGATTAAAATACATTTCATTCTCTAATTAATAATATACTTTAAAAAATTTTAGCTTTTTACCTTTGTATATTGCCAGTGATCTTGATATTCCCAGAAAACCACATATTAAGATGGCAAAAAATGTTATATGAACAGTATATTGTAAATAATGATAAGCAATGTGTGAAGAAGTAAGCTTTGTCCTGATAAAAAAATATAATTTTTGGACAGTATCTACAGCTATACCTCCAACCAAACAAATCATTGGATATACAGGAAATAAAAATCGTTCTTCCTGTAATCAAAATATGACTATAGATATAGTCATGTGTTTTCATGGCCTTAATTACTAAATAATGTTACTTAATTTACCTTGTGAGGCTGTAAGAAAAACACTAAAAACCAAAGATATAGTGGTGCCAATGAATACCAGTAAGATAAACATAGACGATCTCTTGGTCTGGCTGGTACAATTAGCCACACTAAAAGCTATATGATTCATTAAAGTATTAATAATTGTGAAGGTAAAAACATCATGAATTTTACAAATATTACCAATCCAAATGGAGCCCAAAGTGCACCAACAAAAATGAAATTGAAGTTTAAAAATCCATTATAAATATAATAACTGAAAGGTTCTGTTCCATAGATATTTGGCCCATGATTGGTGAAAACATTGTACATTACAATGTTCAATGGTGCTATTACCAATTTCCCATAATACATTGAATCTATCCATATCATTGGTACTAAAACAACAGTGCCAGATATGATTACCCATTTCATAAATTTACTCCAGTCTTGTTTATGTATTAACATTTCCATTGCAATTGGTAATCTGCAAAGGATATGAAAAAGATTTATAGCACTGCTACATTTCTGCTGTTTAAACTACTCTAATTCTACATAAAAATTATACCCAAGTAAAGCAGCAAATGGCCATCCTAATAAAGCTGATATAGCTGTAGCAAAGATTGCTAATTCATACTGCCGGCCATACCAAGCTGCTGTTGCAACAGTACTCAAATACCTGTAAAAGCATACAAAATTAAATAATCTAATTATTTCAACATTTGTTTAAATGATATTAATTTCATACAACATACATTGAAAAAGAGGATGGCAGAAATGCAGCACTAGCAATATACATGCCAGAGCTGAGGATAAGAAATACTAATGTTAACCTCCCTATATGAATCCCAAATTCTCTGCATACATTTCTATCAGAGAAAAATGATAAAATGTAATTATTATCTTAATATGATATTTATTGTTAACGAGTCCATAATATAATTCAACAGATACATACTTATAGAAGTATACTTCAGATAAAGCACAACCCACAGATAATAGACATCTTACAAAATAAAAGACTAGAACAGGATTTGGTTCTAGTAAGTAATGGTAAAGCTTTGCTGGTACCATATGAATCAGCAAATACATATATGATCTTAATGCATATTGTGGACTATATTCCCATGTTTGTTGACCGGTCCCATAAAGCAGATAGTGACTCTAAGACAAAATGCAATAAAAAAATAATATATGATTATAAAATAAATAATCCATTTATTAAAACAAAATAATGTAGTACAAATAAATTTATACAAATCATACAAAATTATTGAAATTATTAAGAACTATTCCTTACTGGTTCCCAATAGTTATAGGTTTCATCACAATCTGTTATGTGGCTCCAAATAGCAGAACAAAATCTAGCTGATAGAAGCAGCTTAAATGCTGTATCCACACCAGGATATATGAGACCAGTATCAGAGGATTCTTCTGGTCTGAAACACATACCCTTAATTTTTCTTAAGATTTGTATTTAATTTCACATGCATGTTTACTTCATAATTAGTAGATTTATCTTATCCTAAGTAGAGTTTGTTAGCGATGAATTAAATATAAAAATAAAATAAAATAATTATCTATTGATAATTATAGAATTTCTATAAAATAACATATTTATGGTTCTTCATCAAAATAATTTAATATTGAATCACAAAAGAAAAGGTTAACCGGCATACAATACATTTAACTTTATTAAACACGAGATAACTAAACAATGCTCTATTCACTTTTTACTATTAAGAAAGAAAGAAATATTGCATCTACTTTGAAAATCTTCTGCCATTCAACTTTTTCAGTTCTTTCTTAGAAACAAAAAGCTGACGTTGACGTTGATTCGGCGCCATGGTTCCTTAAAGCCTTTTAACTTATTTAAATATTTGTTAAACTATACCAGTCTATTGATATTTTTGTTGATGTTAAAATCAATACTAGTAAGTTTTATGATATAATATATCAAAATAATTATAAAAATAATTATGAAATAATTTATGTAAATATATTATAAATATACATATGCAGTTTCACATTTACTGTAACTATATTTTTGCTTGAAAATGTGATTCTTCTAATGTTTCTAATTCCCATATTTCCCATATTTATATTATAATTCTCAAAAATATTGTCTACTTGTCATGTAATAATTTATATATATATATATCTTTCTCATATTCTTATCTCCATAGTAACAAATAGCATTGTATAAAAATGGAGATTAAACCCAGTTATACATTTGTACCTCTTGCACAAAAGAATTTTGTTGGAATAAATGACAAAACGATTCAGGAATTTCTTTCCAAATGGTAATAATGTTAATTGATATATCACGTGATTGATTTATATGTATAACATGCAAAATTTAAAAGTTGATCCTTATCTCAAGAGTTAAATATAATAATAAGTTTATTTCAATCTTACAGGGGAATAAGAGGAAATTTTATTATTCAGCATTTTACATTCAATGAACCCTTTCAACAATATCATAAATACCATTTGGCTGAAGTTAGTTAATTACCATATAATATGTTTTTAACTTAATTTTAAATAATTCTAATCTACTATCTACTATCTTTTAATTGTTTTAGGCTTTCTTTCAAGATAATATTGTAACTAAGGAATTATTAACAAAACAAGGAAATTATTGGTTAAAACAAGGTAATAAAGATATTTTTCTATAATATGATATTAAATACTGTTAATTTTTGTCACAATTAATAGGCATAGTAGCATCAAGTGTAGAAATAAAGCCAGTTCCTTGTTCTGTTCTAAACATGACTTTTTTTAACAAACTAAAAGATCCCAAAAATGGAGTTGTACATAAGTCTGGAATTATTTGCAAAAGATATGATATGGAAATAGAAAATTTTTTGATCTCTGATAATCTTAGAGCGGTATGGATCTTTATTACAATTAATTTAATAATAATATGTACTTATCTATAATAAATTTATAGATGTTATTAGATGAAGAATGTCCAGAATATAATTTATATTTAAAAGATGAACGCGAAGAATTTATATTTCATATTTTTCAAATGCTTGTTCTTGGTGGAATATTGTGTCAATATGAGGATGTTTTAAATCCATACTTAGAAGTGACAAAGGCCATTTATAAAGATTTAGTAAGGTTGTATAATACTTGCACAAATATTTTGTTCTTAAGGTCAATAATAATTATATTTTTTATTATCTTAGAGTACAAATGAATAAAGATGCAGACTTGTCAATCAGTACAATAGTTCTACAAATAGTGGCTAAAGATAACAGAGGACAAGCTTATTTTCCACATGATCCACATCATAAGCAAAACATAGGATTTCTGTTAATTGATGGTACTACTCACGAGATTACAACATTCTTACATCAGTTTGGAGAATATTGTCTTTTACAATGAATGTAAAAAGAATTTACACATATAAAAAGAGTTATATTATAAGAATATTTTATTAGTATAAAACGTTATTTATTACGTAAATACTGAAAATTTTTATTAATTCATTATATTGTATTGTGCATTATTTACATTTTATATTCAACATGTACCTAACACATAATAGTTTGTTGGTATATTACTAAATATATTACTAACACCTAATAATATAAAATTTAGTAACAAATATTTTGATTATGCAATTCATAAATACTCTTTGGTATCACGTTAGTTGGCACTAATGAAAATAAATAAATAGCTTAGGATACTGTCTGTCTTGCACTGTTTTGTTCTATAATTCATTCTATACCACATTTGAAATCATAAATGGTAGTTTAGTTTATATTATTTTTTCTACATTATGCTTGTGTTTAATATAACTCTAATCACAGCACCTTTATGATTTGTAAACTTTGTTGTGATGTTTAATCCTTACAATAACAGTATTTTCGTAAATGAAATAATGAATTTTCTACACATCTTGCCTGAGATCCATACATATTGATCCTACTAACATCTGAAATCTAAAATACGAATCTCAATATATTTTCATTTGTATATTTTTTTTTAATAGCTATATTGATTAATATAATTTAATTGCAAACTTACTTTGGTTGAAAAAGTGTTTTTCTTTATATCATAATTAATACTGGCTTCAAATAAACCAAATCCTGGCTCTGTTTTTACTTTCAACTGATAAGTTTCAGTAGTTAATTTTGTTTTTGCACTAAAATCTCCCATGAAACCATCTTGATCTCCTGATTTGTAGAATTTCAGTAAATCTACAATTTTACACTTTAACAATAGCAGATCAACATAAGTAAGAGTTATAAATTGTTTACAATACCTTTATTAGGTATAAGTTTAGCAGCCCACAATATCTCTTTTAATTTCAACTCTTCACATATGTTGCGATGATTTTCTGTATAAACATTAAGAAATTGGACAAAATACTTGGCTGCAGCAATCACGTTATCATCATCAACTGAAATTTCTTGCCAACTCAGGCATGCACACCAATGTGGTTCTATAAATGCATCTGCACACGTTCTCTCTAACGGTATCTGCATCGTTATACAATATGATTATTTATCAATTTGTAACATTTATTGTAAGTTTATATAATTATTTAAAAAACATTAAATTAGAAAATTAAAGCAGTGATAATTCTGTTTTGATTTTCTTCTTCAATTTGATATAATGTAGAGATATATAATAGCATAACTTTAAAACAAAATAAATAAACGTAAAGTATTAGGTTAATTTATAAAATACCTAGTGCAAATTTTTTTCTCTGGGAACTATTCCATTTTGAACTTTCTTTACTCATAATACCTGATGAATAGGGGTAAAATATAATGATTTTGAGTTTAGGAATCCATTGATTCAAAGGTTATGCGTTTTTAAAGTTTGGTTCTCTTAGTATACTATTTACTTAGCTTACTTTAACCACGCATAAAAGCATGTATATGTTGAAAGATTCCTAGCATTTCTCTTATCTCTTGGCAGCAGTTTTCGATTAGTTTTTGTACACTAAACATCTCATAACTCTAAAACTAATAGCTAATTTTTCGACCCACGTTTACTGCGATCTTTTACTACTACACTGAAATTTGGCACCAACTTTTATGGACACCCTGTGCAGTCTTACCAATGCTAATTTACTCTATCTATTTAATCTATCTACAACTTTTCTACTTTCATGAGATAGTATCTAGTTACGTCGTCATAGTATATATCAACAAAGACGAACGTTCTGTATATCTAGCAGGAATAATACGAAAAAAGCTATACAGAATTTTGCAACCTTTTACGTATAATAGCTTTTGAACGGGAAAATTTTTAAACTTAAAATTACTTGAAGGTATTACTTAAGGTTTAAGATATTACTTTCAGTAAATATAGATTCCAATCAAAAAAATGAGATTTCATGTAATGGATTTTATATAATACCCACCTTATCAAATAAACTAATGGCTCTTTGCTGACGGTCTCCAATTTTTGGTATTTCAAAATTCAATATGCTTTCTAATGTTTTGTGAACGTCAAACGGTGTCGTTAAATAATGTGTATTATGTAAAAAATTGGCATAAGCCTCTGGATGAACTCTTTTAAACCAAGGGGGAAAAGCAAACGAGAAAAATGGTAATCTTTCCTCTTGTTTACCTTGCAGAGTGTTACGAATTTCTGCAAACCTTTAAAATGAAATTTACAACGTTAGTTTTTTTTAGATGTACAATCCTATATAACAATTAAATTTTTCATATCACTCAAACCTATGTCCATGATCACTCATCACTATCAATACTGTATTATTTAAATGACCAAATTCATTTAAGTTCTTTAACCAATTATGTAAATCTTCATCTACAACACCTATGTCATTATAAGAATCATGTGAAAGTTCTCCATGAAAACCAAATAGAAATTTTGGTTGATGTTTGTGGACATCAAAAATTTCTTTAATATAATTCAGCATTACCTAAAAGAATACTAATGATGTATAGTTCAGTAATTGTAATATAATTCGAGAATTCAACCATACCATATGTCTAGGAATGCTTCCAATGCAATATTTATTGTAGTATCTAAAATATGGTGCAGCAGCTAAATAGAATGTTCTCATATAATGATCAGTTGGTTGTTTCTTAAAACCTTTTAAACGATATGTGAAAGTTCCAATATGATGGACATCCTCCATGAATCCTGTTATATAACCATTTTCTTTGTACTGATTCCATATCATTGGATATACATCAACATAGTTTGCCTTTAGTCCCATGCGTTTTCTAGTATCTGGAAGTTCAAGCTCAATCTTTCCAGTAAGTATAGGAATAAGAGCTTGTGGTGTTCCATCACCTACTATATTGTATCCTTCTAGTATTAAAGCTCCTAAGTATTCTTTTAAATACCGATATGTCTTTGGTAATTTGCGTATAAATGTATTTCTGGATAGAGAATCAAAGCCAAACATAAGTACATTTAGTTTAAGGGCCTTGTTTCCAACATATTCCCATTTACTTTTTTCTTTTACTTTAGGATCATCCTTCACTCCGGCCATGATACTGTGCCATCTAAAAAATTGTGTAAAATATAAATTTAACTAATTTGTCAGTTGACTATTTTTCTTAATATGTTCTTCTTACTTATTGCCATCTTTTGATTCACATTTAATATCAACAAAATCGCTATGTTTGAGAACATAGGAATCTGCAGACTCAACAGCAGGTTCGAATAATACATTGTAATCATCATCCCTAAGAATTTCTGTGAACAATTGAAATAATTATGTCTAGTATGTTCAATATGAACATACGTCATACAATTTCATAAAACTAACCACTGAAAGAGCAAATTATGGATCCATGTCTTTTCTTTGCTCTGCTGCTAATAATTAATCTTGAACCATGGAGAATAACCCAATTTTCTGGTGTACATTGCAAAGGTGGGACA